CTGAACTACACTGAAGATAGTGCTACTTGGCAGAGGCGCAGGTACACTGAGCTCCCTCATAATTTTTGGAGGACAAACTGATAAAGCGAGGCTCACTAAACAGGTATAGAAGGGTTTTTTTAAACGTCAAAGCAATTTTTCGCGTTGTGAATTTGAACAAAGAAAATATGTCAGGCAATAAACTGTGCAGTCTGTTGTTTGTTCGAATTGTATGTATTTGTTTTTTCATTTAATATTTATTTCAAATATATTATGTGTCATTTAGCACAATAATATTGAGTACTTAACTAGGACTTGGCTTCTTTACCCCCCTCCCCCAACCCAGAAAATTATAAGATGGTAGACAGCCCCCCCCCCCCCCCTTTTTTTTAAACACATGTTCCATTCTTTCTTCTGCTGGCGCCCCTTCTATTTGGATTATTTAAAATATATTTTTTTGCCAACTTAGGGCTTTGAAAAAAAAAAGGTTGTCTTGCACGGAGACACGATCTGAGTTATAGAAAATGCAAGGTTTCCATTTCCGTAACATACATTAAAGTTAAGGCAGCAGCATGTTAAAAGACTGGTCCACTGATTCCTAATATGACCTACTGCTATTTCTGCAAGAACATGATATTACTGCTGCTGCTACTACTACTGCTATTACCACTACTAATACTGCTGCTGGTGCTACAACTAATACTGCTGCTACTACTAATACTGCTGCTGGTGCTACTACTAATACTGCTGCTACTACTACTAATACTGCTGCTACTACTTCTACTACTACTTGTGCTGCTACTACTACTATTTTCAAATGCACAGGGAAAAAAATGCACTGTTTATTATTACAAATAAGCAACTGGTTTATGTCTCAACCACAGCAAAAATAATGCTCGCTGCATGCTTATACTACTCAGGCAGAAACTGCAACAAGTGAAAGCTACAAGTTACGGGTACTATGATACTATGCACGCAAACTCTCAACAGTGTAGTGAGGGGAAAATACGCGATACAATCTCCAGTCTAATTGTTACCTGTTAAAAGTTAGTTGCGTATCCTTTACAGGACGTTGCAAAACCAACCCCAGCATTTTTGGCTGTTGTGGTTTTATAGGCAAAAAGCCAGCATTTGTGTGAGGATCCTTCCTCAGAGTACATCTACCTGTGAGGCAGGGAACGGCAAAAGCCAGTAAAACGTTTGTACACGCAAAACTCAGGTCCAGGTATAAGCCAAAAAAGTCCAAGTGGGCGATTAACCGGGACCTTCCGCTGGAAATCACAGCCGGTGAACGAAAAAGAGGAAGTGTGAGGATCCAACAGGAACAAATCCCAGAAATCCAGTTCAGAAGAAAATAACTGCTCCCAATTACTTTACTGAAGCTCAACAGTTTTAGATAAGTTGCTAAAGCTGCATGCATGTTGAATAAAACCCGCTTTTAAAGAAAGATATTTCTTTCTGTTATCAGTTATTTGGATAGCTTTGTTTTATTCTTCTATGTTGACCCTTGAAAGGGTTGTTGGCATGTTCACTTCTCTAACTGTTGTCTGGAAACCCACAGAGGGATGTCGTGTGACACCTATTCCAAAGATGAGAGAAAGTAGTAACCTTCATCCATAGCAGTACTGCTTGTATTAAAAAAGTAAGTAAAGGACCCTTTCCCCGCCTTTAGGCGTATAGGGCAAATAGGGCTAGACCTATATTTTTTTAGACCAACGGCACACGATGGGTGATGTGGTCAGCATCACACCGCTGCTTGTATTATCTTATATTAGTTTAACATCACGAGCCACGGATTGGGTGTTATATACACTCAGCTGTCATAACTGACAAGAATGGTCTGAGTTCTAACTCTTTGAGTCCCAAGGAATGCATCATACGTTCATAGGTTCCTACATAGAAGCCCAATGAACGCATCATTCTCCAATTTTATTACTTTCTTTACTACTCCCTGGGCCTGTGATGCTAAACCCCCTGGGACTCAAAGAGCTAAAAGGTATAGTCAGGCAAACTATTTTTTCACCTCCTTCTTCATGTTCTCAGGCTGTAAACCCCAACAGAAAGTTATGGTTGTCTCTCTAAATCTGGATTTTAGTTTTTTTTCCCCCAGACATTTTGCATGCACATCTGTTTTACAAATCTGGCTTACCTGTGTGCAGACTGTTGGCAGGTGCACTGCGACTTTGAAGGAAACCCCTAATTAGTCGATTCTTACGACTTGCTTTTTTTTCCAGGGATGTAGTAAGCCTCTCCCTGCCCCATTATGAGGCATCCCGAAACCTACACAAGGAGTAAACTATTATAAAATACATGATGTTTCAAAATTGTATGCCATCTCCATAATGTCTCTGGGAGAATTATGTGGTGAATTTCCAGTCTTTTCCACGATGCGACTCTCATACCATTGTTCAAATGTCAAGAGAATGGTCTTTAAAAAAAAAAAAAATGAATAATTTAATTGCAGAAATGAAACCCTGATAATTATAAAAGTTATAAGACTAACTTCCCAGTTCAGCCAAGTAAACAAAAAATATGTCTTCATTCAGCTATTATTGAGGTAAATCCCAACGGCAAAAGCTGGACAAAGGTGAGGAGGAATTGCTACGGATTCAAGATTTATTTAGCTGAAAGGCACTGACGCAAATGTGTTCCCACTGACCTAGGCTTCCTGTGGAATAAGCCTGAAAAAGATATAAGGAGTGCTTTGAATCAAGGGACCTGAGTCGATCTGAGCTCTACCTTGCATGCAACTGGCTCCAGAAACTGTTTCCTTTTTACATCCAGCAGTTGTCAACGTGGACAGAATATTCTGGTTATTCATCCTTGTTAGCAGTGCCCAGCTGGGATTAGGGATGTTTCCTTTAAAGTCGGAGTGCACCTACCTGAGATTTGAGGTATCAACAGTCTGCATACAAATAAGCCAGATCTGTAAAACAGTTGTGCATGTAAATCTCAAGTTCTGGAACAAGACCAAAGTCCAGAAGTGGACAAACAACCAGAACTTTTCAGTCGGTGAATGCTAAAAAGATGAACTCATAATAAAGAAGATTGTTGGACATTTTTGAAACAGAAATAATGTTTGTAAATATAAAATAATTTTATTCTTTGTCAGTCGGGAAAAACTTAGTACTCATGATTTTTCGAAATGGTTATTTATCTTTTTAAGCAACTGCTGTTCTGAGATTATTTTTTTTTAAAAGTTTTAAATCAATTTCATTGAATGTTAAAATGGGTGTGTATACAATGCTGCGTGGTTTCTGTGTTGTGAGTATTTTATTTACAGGCGTCTGTGATGTGCGTATTTTGTTGTGTTCTATACATATGTTGCCATGTGCTAGTATTGTGTTGCAGGTGTGTGCGTCATTTCAATATTTATACTTCTATACATAGAGAGAATAAATGAGAAATCAGTTGGTTTAGTACTATAATTAAGAGTTTGAAGTGTGCCTTTTATACACATGAGAGGAAGTAACGGGACAGGGCAAGGGAGACAGACTAGGGTAGGAGGACAGGGACAGTAGAGATTGAGGATTGGTGTTTGCTGATTTCCTTCAGTTTGGTTACATCTTCTTTTGCTTTTAACCTGCCTCCTGGGAGGGCATTGGTGTCTGTGTGTCTCTTCGTGAGCCCATTCCAACATAGATCACAATCTCGAAGGGGTGGGGGGTGAGGGTGAAACAGTAGGCATAACAGTGCATCTTAAAACATATCACTTAATCTAAAATAAGCAATTTACATAAGGACATCAATAAAATAGAGAGAAGTATAGGAGAGTATTTAGGAATTTTACCAAGGAGAAACAGAGGTTTATTTAAAACAAGTAGAGAGTAGGGATAAAGGAGGAGAGATAGAGAAGAGTTTAAGAGGAGAGAGAGAAGAGAAGTAGAAAGTCTGCATTGAGTAGCTGTAGATAAACAGAGAAACAGGAGGAAAGGGAAAGACAAGACATCTTGCAGTAGAGGAAGGGGACCCTAATCCGGGTCAAAAATCTTCATTAGTGTACATTGGAAACGTTCGGCTATATAATTTTTCAGGGCATTTTTTCCCTTCAAAGATCACATTACACCTATGAAACCATAGTTGGACACAGTATTCTGCAAGTGCAGACAGAACTTTGGTTTCATACTCTTTGGTCATTTTAGGAATCGTATTAAAAAAAATCGCTCTATAAGCATTAATTTGTGTATAGTGGTTTTTAAATTTTTAAGTGTCGTCTGTACTGCTGGGCAGGTGTAAAATAGGTGTTCTTCTGTTTCCTGTTCATTTGTTGTACATAGGCTACATGTTATTTTCCTTTTTATTTTTGTTTTTGCTTTTCTTTTTTTTGGGGGGTGATGTTAAAAATCAATCTGTATGTAATTTCTTTCCCTACTGGTGTTATGTATGGTTTGTGTATGTTTCTAAAGGATGTGTAATGATTTGTCCTAGGAAAGGTTAAGCCTTTTTTATTCTAAGGTGTAAAGGGGATGCTTGTTGGATTATCAATTTTGTGTAGATCTGTTTTGTTGTCTGCTGTATTTGTTGTTCGTTACCTTTAAGATTTTGTAGACAAGTTTTGTAAAATGAAGGAAGGGGTCCTGAAAAATGTGGTAAAGTATTATCAAATTTTTTAAGATGTATTAGTTTTAGAGCTACGTAATACATTGCTAGGGGAAATGTTTCTGAATTTTTGATTATTTGACCTATATATTTAATTCTAAGGGAAATAATTTTGGTTTTTATATCATGTAGTCCGACTCCCCCTTGTAGTTTACTGTTCTGAGTTCTGGGACTGAAAGTGATAAGGGCACCTTTCATATGGTTACAATGCAACCTGCAGTCTGACAAAAACTGGATGTGCTTGATGTAAAAACTAGAAAAACCGATGACCAACTATCCTTGGGCAGGGTGAGGATAAACAAGTGAGAATAAATGAAGATAAATCAAACACTATGAACTAAACAAACAAGAATGAACAAATATGAAATTTATTGAGATAAATGACACATTAGAGAACACAGGCAAGACACAACAGTCATGATCTAGAAGGATATCACTTCAATGCAGTAGTCTCCCATTTTGGTACTTCTCTGTTGCTGCTGTTTCTCAAACAGTCGATTTAGCTCCAGTAATGTCCCTTGCAAGGCTTTAGACTCTATCTGCCACTTTGTCTGTGAGGAATAAATTGAAATAACTAAAACGAACACAACCATCTATAACTATCACAAGCAAATAACCAATACTTTCACAAAAGTAAATATCTACAAAAGCAGCCAATATCTACAACATACAGGCAAACATCTAAATCTTATCTCGGACAAATATCTACAACTATTACACTCAAATATTTACAACTATCACGAGCAAATATCTAAAACTATAGGGAGCAAAAATTTACAATTATCAAAAGCAAATATCTACAACAATCACAAGCCCTCATCTACCACTATCACAAGTTCATAAAAGAAGATATACACAACTATTAAAAGTTCTAGTATAATATATATAGGTCAACTGCTAGTAGTGCATGGCTCTTAACAGCAGTATCCTTTGATGTTATCACAGATTATTCTATTTTCCCAACCAACAATGGGTACCAGGTAAAATCCTGGGAAGCAAAGGTGGCTGACGTGACCCTGACCAAATCCATTACAAAGAGCCACATGCTCTATAAAATATAAATCTAGCATCTCATACCCGATGTGCCATCGAAGTTATTTTTATTTGTTTTTAACTTTCTTTTCTTCTACCCCAAAATAACCAGAGATAACCATGGCATATGTGTCTGTTATCGATTCCTTCCCACCAAAAATGGCTGACACCTTGAATTTCTGGTGAAAGATTTGTTTTTAGTTTGCTCTCTAGACAGCTGCAGTTCCTTGCTTAGTTCTGTCTTAGGCAGAAGGTGGACTGTAATGACTAAAACATTGCGAGCATAGCATGCCGGTAGATGCTGTAGTTTCTATCAGTCATCATCCCACCCCTTAAATAACACAACCACATTACAAGCAACTCCCATGAAGAACACAATTTATTCAGCCCTGGAAACACAAAAAGTAGTAGTACATAATGAGAACACAACAAATTGAAAGAAAGTCATAAAAAGCCAACAGTAAACGAAAACAGAATTCTGACAGCAGAATTATTTGCACCCTCCAGCTGACATATCCAACTTCTTCGGATATCTATCTGCTCACAATGTTTGCCTTTCTAGTTTTATAGAAACACAAGGACGTATTACGGCTTCACGGGGTGAAAGGGCGACTGATAGGTCACGTCTTAGCTGATGGCGAGGCTGTGATACCTGTGCCCAATTTAAATAAAACCTTATTTAGTCACTTTTTACAATATACTTGTTAAGAGGCAATGAGTCCACCCCCTCCCTCCTCCCCCCCAATTTAATGAGGCCTCTCAACCCACACAGGGAGCAGTGTTTCTGAAAATTTACAACAGCAATCAATTTCTGTGTCACAAACTTACCATGAGAGTGACTTGCTCCTGCAGTGACTCAATAACTGCGGTGGAATCCTCTGCAAGTTTGAGCTGCTGGAAGTGTCCGTCTAAAAGGGCATTCAACCAATCAATTATCTGCAGACAAAAATATAAAACATTAGAGTGTGTGGTGATTTATATAAAAAGATTCCTCTTTTTCACGTCCTCTTTTACTGCTTCAGCATCAAGGGAGACAAAAGATTCTGCCTCTTACTCTTTGGTCGGACTTGACCATTAACACATCATGCTGTGAAATTTATCTGTTATCTTTGATCTTTTTCTTGGTTTACTTCGTGCTCTGTCCTTTTTTTTAAATAAATGCCTTGCATGGTATGGCGTTGCAAGGAATTTTTTTAACAGGCAAACCATTTACAACTGGTTCTGTGACAATGTTTTTCTCTTATGACCTCATTCGCGATTTTATATCTTCTGGTCACTTCTGCAGTCCTTCTCAGAAGCTCATTTCCATGATTACTAATGTTCTTTTCTGATTTGTTGTGAGTGATCATGTCTGAACTAGCAGCATAGTCTGGGAATGAATATGCTTTGTATGAGATGTTTGTGCTCACTGGGACTGTCTTATGCTGTCTCCATAGGTGCTCAATACAGTGGACATGTGTGTCCAGTTATCTTTTTAAAAATATTATACAGTGAGGCCCAAATCTTTTCTTAAGTGCAACTCTCTTACTGCTGCCCGAAAGCCACGAGAACGGTCTTTGTCTAAACGTCTTTTAGTTGAATTGAACCCTGAGAGGTCAAGAAGTGAAAAAAAAAGTTACTCACTAACCTTTAAGCCACATACTGGTGATTACCTTACTTTACAGAAAGGCAGAGGGTTTCCATGGCAAAGCAGTTAACCATTTTGCTCCACGCTAGGGTCATGGGTTCGCATTATGTGTACAAAGTGGCACTTATTTCATGGCAGTTTTTATAGAGATCGTTGAAGAGATAGCAGCTGGGTACAGCAAAGGCAGAAATAAATCAACCCAGTGAGCTGGACAAGGCAGAAGATACAAACAACTAAGCACTGAAGTCATGCATGTCTATGACTAATGTCTAACCCTCAATGAAGGCAGTGGCAATATAAACTCCATCATCAAAGCAGGCTTCTACAAATGTGAGGCCTCATCACATCTTTGATTTCTGACTTGCTCAAGAAATCATTACGTCCTGCACATAGCAGCTCCTGAAAATGTCTGTGTCTTGTGCTCTTTCATAATTGTCTGTCTTTTTGCATTGCATGTTAAAAATAAATTAACCATGTCACATAATTATCTTTTTACATATTAGTCTGCATTTGTTTCTGCATGTATGTGTGTTGGCATTCGTGCCTTGAGATGTGAAGTCACTTATGTTTTCCAAAATTAGGTTAGTTAATTGACGGATCATCATCATCACACATTGGAAAAAACCCACAGGCACTTGGATCTCCTCTTCAGTATCTCCCTTAGCATGCGATAACTGATTTACTATTCTTATTTGGTCACATGTATAGTGTTCACGTCTGGCAGCGTATTGTCTGACATGAACTTCTTTTAGTCATGTCAAGGTTGCTGATTCACCTTTGTCTCTTGACCCATCTACTTGTCCTGCCTCCTTGAAAGCACCGAGAACATCAGCCCAATCAATTGCTTTTCATGTGTGCCTACTTGGCCCTACCAGCAAGCCAATCTGCTCGTTCATTCCCTTTACCCCTAAGTATACGAGTACAGAAATAAAACTGATTTCTGTTAGGTGAGAACACTGTAAATTTGACACATTATAATTCATTTTCAGGATGAGAAAACTATTTCAGGCACTGAATGTGAGAAACAGCAGTAAAATCAAACAATCAATACATACCTGTTCTAATGACGGCACATGACTGTCACAGTCTGGATCTGTTGGCACCCAAGACAGCAAAAAGTGGAAATATTTGGCAAGACTCTGAATCAGAAACAAAGGAAATGCTAAATATAAATGAGAAGTTGAGTTGATTAAAAAAAAAAACATCACAGACCTCAAAGCCAAGTCCCAATATTCAGCAGCCAATGCAGAGTTCTAATACCAATGGTGCCAGCAGCAGTCTGATTTGTGTGTGTCTGCGAGTGTATCTGTGTATTCCAGCATGTGTCTACATGTGTACACCTGCCTCTTTGTCTGCGTGTGTTTCTATGTATGTGTGACCATTTGTGTATGCATCTGCATGTATGACTGTGTGTGTCTGCGTGTGCCTTTGTTGTGTCTGTGTGACTGCATGTATCTGTGTGTGTGCCTGTGTGTATGTATGTCTGTGTATGTGTGTGGGTTGTGCTTGCGTGTATCTGTTAGTGTTTGTCTGCGTCTGTGTTTTTGCATGTGTGACTGTGGGTTTGTGTGTCTGCATGTGTGTTTGAGCGCATGAGTGTGTTTCTGTGGTTGTATCTGTGTGTGGGTGTTTAAGTGAGTGAATGGGCGTGTGTATGATAGTATGTGTGTGTGCACTAGTGTGTGCATGCATTTTACCACCCATGTTTTTGTGTTTTTTCTTTATATTCACAATATGCATATTATCATATGAACATAACATGCTTTATTGATAAAATACAACTGCTGCGTGAAAGACGGGTGTTTGGAAGAGACAAGTGTAAGACAGGCCTGCATACCCAGTTTGTGACCCTTTGAAAATAAAGTCTGTTCGTTCGTTGAGTCTTGCCTATAAATTAGATACAATTCTAAAATTGGTGAAATCTATCAACTTCAAAAATACAAGGAAGATCTTCATCCTGCCAATAGACCAGCCAATTATTATTATTTTCTCCTTAATATTTACTGACTGTAAATTCTGGTGGAAAGTTCTGGTTGTTTGTCCACTTATGGACTTTGGACTTGTTCCAGGACTTTAGTGTATATCTGTTTTACAGATCTGGCTTTGTGTGCAGACTGCTGGCTACTTGCTTCTCAGCAAGAAATACTGATGGAAACCAATTATCTTCTTCTTCGTGTTAACCAGCTGTAAACTCTGGGAGAAAGTTCTGGTTGTTCATCCACTTCTGGACTTTGATCTAGTTCCAAAACTTGAGCTTTACATGCAAATCCATATTACAGATCTGGTTATTTGTATGCAGACTGCTGGTTCCTTACCTCTCAGGCAGATGCAACCCGACTTCAAAGGCAACACCCCCTTATAGACAGAGCCCGCACTGGGAAAACCAAATATGAACTAACATTCTGTAAAAGTGATAGAAAGCCAACTTCATTTCATTTAGAAAAAGACTAAATAAAGGACTATTAGAAAGTGATATACATGCTCTGGCACTGCAGTTAGCAGTGTTAGGGTTGTCTAGCTTCTTTTCAGTGAGGGGAAAAGTAAAATTAACTTGCCAATGACCTGTACAGCACCCAGGTCATCCCCACCTCCACGTGGTGTATGGTGGAAAACTGAAACCAGGAATTTCCAAGCTAGTGGGGAGGAGATGGGCATCAAACAGGCCAGATTTTTCTTGCATTACCTTACGACAGACCTAACAAGATGACAGTTGTTTAATTAACTGCAACAGGAAAAAATGAAAGGACAGATAGAAAACAAATGACACTGGGCTACAATCCAGTAACACTGGAAAAGATGAAGAGAAAGTGACAACAAGAAATTAAGAGACAGATGATTTCTAAGATTTATAGATTTGGATTACATGATTGTCTGCAGAAGATATTACTACAATGATCTGTTGACCACACAAATGGAAATAAACAAATGTGAAATTCAAATAGAAAAATCACAAATCCTGGACAGAACAGACAAGTACAAACCAAGTAGAATAAACCCACATAAGAGGGTAACGACATCCATACTTTAGTACCAGTATATAACAAGATCACCTGGTTAAACCATTAGCCTACTCATGAAATAAAGTTAAGAGTTAAAAACAATTGACTTCAATGCACCAGGTGTGATTCCAAATGGCTAGATCTTGCTACCTGTTGAAAGCACTGCATAAAGCACAAACTTCACAGTTCCAGTGACTATCCCCAAAAATCTCCATAAAAATGTGTGCATGAACTAAATGACACAACTATGTTGCCACAGAGCCAAACTAAACAATACTCTCATCCCTATTTAGAACAGAACACAGGATTTTATTTAAGGATTTATCTTAACATCAAAATGTTACTAAATTTTAAATGAGGGTGATATGAATGCTGCAGACTTACCAATACACAGTCAAATGGCATTAGCCTGGCTTCCTCTTGTAAAAAATGAGGGCTGAATTTCTGACACAACATGACGTTTCTACCATTAGTTAAGGATACAACATGGAACACTTTCATATACATTCACATTTTCTATGCAGGACAGCATGTTGAACAATGCAGCTGTGACCAAAAAAAAAAACATGTGAATTATGTACTTTTGTACACAGAGCATTAGGTAGACCAAAAAGAAGATAACATCAGAGAAACTCTACAGCAGCACGATGTGTGGATGCGGCCAGAAGCAGAACCTTATATATCCCCTGACACTAGAAGCTGTAAAAAAACAAGTAAAGAAGGAGACACACAGAACAATTAAAACTGTATCAAAAACTAAACAGGCATGGTTTTAAAAAAATTAAAGCAATAGTGCTGCACTTTCTGGTGGCACCTTATTATCTTTTCAGGCTACAGTCTTCTTCTATGTTATAGGGAAGCACAGAAATCACAACCCATGATGATGGCGAGAAGGATTAGCAGGACCAGGAACACTGATATCATCGGATGTATTTAATGGACACTCAGCTCTGAAGATATCTACAATTATTTTTCTTAAATTCTCTATTTCACTCTGTATGTTGTTATATTTGTTATTACAATACTATTTTCGATAGACTGGAGTCAGTTTAACAATGGGGCACCTAAAACTTGTGGATATCACCAGCTTTACTAATTAAGGGCTTGTTGAAACCAGTGTCTTGGGCCAAAAGGTGCAGATATCACTGTCTAGGTGTACACTGCCATAAGACATGAAAACTGCTAGTTTAAGACCGAACATACTTTGCTGCACTACTGAGGGCTTCACTTTGCAAGGGACAGTACCTGTAACTCGCACAGTTATGCTGTCTAGTCTGGAGCAGAAGGGTTAGAGAACTGATTCTGCGTATGTAAACATGACAGAATAGCAAGAACAAAGAAGAAAAGAAATACTGACATTCTAAAAGAACTGAACATCAAGGAAGATTGGCTAATAAACAGCATCTTCTCTTGAAAGCTGAAATATTTTGCTCATATCAAGTGCCACGGTGGACAGGAACTAATAACAAAAGAAGGCATGGTACAAGGAAGGAGCAGCAGGGGTGAACCACACAAAGATGGGCACATGATGTGACAGGATCTGCTACAGGTTGATGATGATGAAACATGATAGATTTATTATTTAGTGCCATTCAGTGTGCACTGACATAACATTTGCTAGTAAATAAGTTAACACTGAATAAGGGGGTAAGAAAACAATTTAAATATTTATGAAAGGATACAGAACATAGCATCGTTTATCAGTGAAGGGTGACTGCATGCTTTCTTTAACCCATGGAACATGTGTAGAAATTTCAGTCTCAGGCACATGTTTTGTGGCAGCCTCAAGGACTTCATCACTAGATCTGAATAAAAAAGGGTTATATTTACTCAATATCATCATCACATACTATGAGAACATCTGTGGTGGTAATACCTCTCCTCTGAAATGACTCTGGGTGGTAATACCTCTCCTCTGAAATGACGGGGTGGTAATACCTCTCCTCTGAAATGACTGGGTGGTAATACCTCTCCTCTGAAATGACTGGGTGGTAATACCTCTCCTCTGAAATGACTCTGGGTGGTAATGCTTCTCCTCTGAAATGACTGGGTGGTAATACCTCTCCTCTGAAATGACTCTGGGTGGTAATGCTTCTCCTCTGAAATGACTGGGTGGTAATACCTCTCCTCTGAAATGACTCTGGGTGGTAATGCTTCTCCTCTGAAATGACTGGGTGGTAATACCTCTCCTCTGAAATGACTCTGGGTGGTAATGCTTCTCCTCTGAAATGACTGGGTGGTAATGTTTCTCCTCTGAAATGTCTACCAACTGAGATCAGCTGTTTGTACTTGACTCAATAATACCATGTGGCCAGGCTGTACTGGTATTTATCTCCGTCTTTCCCCTGATCTTTTCCCATAATGTTTTCTAGCTCCTCCAAAGTTTTCAAGTCTATTTATTTCTCCTTACAGCATGTCCAAATACCTGGACTTCACACTAAATTTTCATCTGTTTCTTAGATAAATGCATTCTTTCTGTGTATCTGTCCATTTGAAAGTCAGTAGTCAAGGTTTAAAAAAAAAAAAAGTAAATATGTAACCCCCAAACTGCTCCATTTCGTGGTAATATCTGCACACCCCTCTGCTAATTTACCTCCACTGCCATAAGATGTTTCTCAGCATTTATCCATATTGTCCATTCTTCCCAACTATACAATAGTAAAGGTTCTACATGACATTAAAACAGTCTCTGTATTATATGAGAATTAAACAACCTTCAATACATAAAGATTCTGTGTATGAGTGTATAACATGAGTGTGAGCATGACAGTGGTAAGTATAACAATCTTAATGACAGAAGTCATGCACAAAATGTGATTCCTTGGGTAATCCTGGGTGTATGGTTTTCAACTCAAAAATCCATCTTCCATATTTGAAAACAACCTGTTTCTTGAGTGCTGCTGCTTTCCATTTAACGAGTGTGGGGGAAATTTTGATATTTATGAGCTGGTGTATGAGTTTTTCAAAGGGCACCTAGCTGTATGCATCTTCCAGTCTAGCGTCACAGCACATGTTTCCAATCCTGCATGGAAACCTTCATAGACAACGTACGCAAAAATAGCATCATTACTCCATGTATCTCTATGTGGTCAATATCTTCCCAATGCTGATGGTAGTTTATCTGCTTGTTCTAATTTATGAGTAGTTTTCCTTGCCACTATTTTTTCTAGCAGTTTGCCAATGGTGGTTCCCATACTAATAATTTGGTAGCTGCTTACAGAAGATGGTTCTCTGCCAGGCCTGGGCAATGGTATTAAATAACTGTGAGGCCATGTTCATTTACTGTGCCTGTCCTTATGCTATTGTTGTATTCACTGCAAAGTTCTGATAGTTCCTCCTCAGTTAGTTTAGAAAAGTCTTCAGATCGGACTCTGTCTGGACAGGGTGCTGTTTTTTTTAAGGGTGTCTATTATTTCATCTACAGTGATATAAAGTTCTTCTTCAGGAGTAAAAATTTTACAAAAATTCTTCAATGCTTTCTTTATATTTGTTCGACTTTCAATACCCGCTTGGTTTGTTTGCTGCAAATAACGGTCAAAAAGTAATAGGCCTTTGCTTTCATTCATTCTGTGTCAACTACCGCCATGTTAATGAATGTCAGGCAAGTTATACTGTCGTGGTATACCAGTCATAGATTGCTGTAGTTTCAGTGATTTGTCACGACCAACTCTCTCACAGAACTCTTCCCATTTTACCTTTCTGGTCTCCCATGCTACAGTTTTAAAACGATTTGTTGTTTCTTTCATGGTTTGAATTAAAGTATTAAGCTCATGGTTGCTGCCTGTCTTCTGTGCTTTTTGCCGATCTCTGGCTGCCTGCCTCTTTGCCTGCCAGCATTTCTCCACTTCCATATTTCACCATGGATGCTCTGATCTTCTGACTCTGCTAGTAACATCATTACCAGAATTATTACATATAATGTTTCCTTGTAGCAGGTAGGTTAGTAGTTAGCGTTTCTGTAGCAGTACTACACACAGGTAGGTGGTCACTGCCATGGTAGCCAAGGACTGACATATGGAGGTGAGAGCTGGGGTAACAAGAGGCAAGTCAATAACACTATCTGTGTCACCAGGGCGTAGGGCTAGTCAAGTAGTTCCATCATTGAGACATACATCAGTGTCTACCAGTGCCTCCTTCACGTCCACATTTTGTGGATTAGATTGGATGTTTCCCCACTGTCTTTGTCTGGCATTGAAATCCCCACAGAATATCACTGGCCCATGCTTTGGATTATTTCACTTAAGAAACGCCATGACAATGTACCCAACAAACTTGGGTTGCAGACATACGTTAAGGAGATTGAATGGTTGTGGGGTTATCTGTACACAGACAGAGAGCAATTAAACATTTTCATTGCTCTGTGTAGACATATCTATTAGAGTTGTTACGATGTTGTTGCGTAGGAGAATAGCTTGTCTATGGTTTCTACTAAAGCCAGCAAACCTTATTTCTTCACCACCTTGTTTTGTTTCTTGTAAAGCGATGATGTCTGCTGCGTATATTTAGCAGTGTGTTCTCTTCATTCAACCGTTGCACATCTACCAGTTAGTTTCTTCTTCTTCACATTAACCGGCTGCAAACTCCGGCAGAAAGTTCTAGTTGTTCATCCACCTCTGAACTGTGGTCTTTTCTCAGAACTTTATTGTTGTATGCACATCCATTTTAATGATCTGGATTATTTGTATGCCGACTGTTGGTTCCTTGCCTCTCAGGCAGATCGATCCCGACTTCAACGAAACCCTCAAATAGTCTAATCTTATGACATGCTTGTTGGAGAGGCAGTGGGCCTATTCTTGTTTTCCCCACAATAAGGTGCCATAACCAAGTTAGTTTAATAATAATCTATACTTGCAAAGGTTAAAATGCTTGCCTGTTACAGGATGTTTGCAAACCAACCATAGCATTTGTTGGCTGCTTGTGATTTCACTAGTAATTTTAAGTCCAGCAGTTTACCATTGCTTTTTTAGGCAGGCACTCCATATCACCGTTGAAATCAACATAAAGCAGACTGCCGACAAACTGCCTACAGCTGAATTGAACTGGATTTTTCAAACTGTGTTGCTAACACCTGAGTAACATATGCTGACTTTACAAACAGGCGTCTTTTTTGTTTACTTCTACACTGTAATTCTGTGTGGCATTGTGATAAAAAGCATAAGAGGAACCAAAGAGAGATATATTTTAAATGCATTTAATAGATAACAGATGTTGATATCCTGCAGAACAGAGACCAACAGCAAAACCTAAGCAATGAAGAAAACCTACTTGAGAAAATATACCACACATTTGACTATGCTGGATTCAGTAAAGTCATCCAGAGTCTCTGGTAATTGCAGTAATCTTTCAAAGTCACCATCTTCGATGAATTTGTCCACGATCTGTCTGTCATTCCTGCAAAGTAAACCGAGATGTATAAGATGTAAACATAGATCTTTATATGTATCAAATTGTCGATTTCTGTTATTTCTTCTCGGAAGACAAGATACGTTAAAAAGGTAACATCTCACATCTAGCAGATTTCCGTGAATAAAATCAAGCAAATGGCATATGTGACATAAATAAATGTCTAAAGAGAATCCTGGAAATACTTGGTCAAGCAAGATCACAAATGAAGAATATCTGACCAAGACTTGACCTTAATTTATAATTATTAATATATAATAAATAACATTCATGATACTGATTTGATACTCAATTGTTCTGTGTTCAAATTTTAAACTGTTTACTATTTCAGCAATCTATAGCCCTATAATCGTCGTCTTTTTTAGTATTCTGAGCCCTTGAGGTTTACTGCTACAGACATCACCTGCCTCCATTCATTCATCTCTGATTGGTTGGCCTTCTACATTTCTGGTAGTTGATTGGTGACACCAAGTGTTACTGTTTGCAATTGTCATTTGTAGGTCTGCTTCCACTCTTACAATATGAAAGATAGAAGGACACACTAGACAACATAAAAATAGAAAGCTATATATACCATGGTGAGGATCAAGCCTGTCACCTCCAAATCATGGTGTGTGTACGCACACGCCTTGCTATGAAAATAAGTGTACTACTAAGATACATGACTTGTTTCCATAGCGAGGCGCAAATGCCATTTAGAGGTGACAGGTTTGCTTCCCAGCAGTTTTATAACTTTAGATTTTTATTATGTCTAGTACGTCCTTATATCTTTCTACTTAATTCTATCAGTGCCAATCAAAACACTGTCTATTTATTTTTCTACAGCCTGAGTCAAGGCTTAGGGCTCCCCTTCTGTTTATTTGTCATAAATTTTATGTTAAATTATATTAATAGTAAGTGCAATATTATAAAACCAAAAGTGGCAGACAAACATAAATATCCAATATTGGAAGTGCAAAAGAAGAAACTATATCAGAATGTTAATTAAAACCCAGATGCGTTGACAGTTGAACAGTCCAGGGAATGAACAGGATTTATTTATTTATCGTGAAAGGTGCCACTGTCGATGTAGATTTGGCCAAGATGGCGGCATAAACGTTTGCCGAAAATTGTGGGGAAAAAAGACATGTTTATTCCTGGAAGGAATGTTAAATGTGTTAGATTAGTGTAATTGTTCAGTTGAAGATGAATTCGCGACAGGCCCGGTAAGTCGGCGGAGGATTCAGTGGTTCAAAAAGAAATGTCCAAGATGAAAATAGGAGATGTTTTAGAAATAGGGAAACTTGAGGCCAGCAGAAGGTTAAGACCAGGGTAGGGACAATCAATATATGTGGATGGGGCAATAAAGAAGAAAAAGTGATAGAATTAATGCAGAAATATAATGTTAAAGTATTAGGCTTATCAGAAGTGAGAATAAAAGGATGAGGAATTAAGAAATTACATAAAAATTACATTTTAATAATAGTAGAGGAAATACAACGTGCAAAGCATGGAGTAGGATATATCATCGATCCCGAAACTACAAAAAATAGACTCGAGGTTAACTATATCTCGGAAAGAATTATAAGTTTGAAATTACAAGTATGAAATAATTTGGAGGTTTTTTCAAATATATGCCCTGTGCAATGGAAATTACAGAAAGGAGGATTTAGATCAATTCTTTGAGGACCTTGATGATGAAATTCGTAAGATAGATAGTAATGAGAAGCTGATCGTAATAGGTGATTTTAATGGTAAGATAGGACAAGACAGATGAACATTTGCAAGATACCTAGGCAATTTTGGAGACAACAGCATAAGAAATGAAAATGGTGAAAGACTGTTGAATATATGTACAGAACATGACCTTGTTATTACCAATACCTTTTTTTCAACACAGAGCTTCACAAGTTTTTACATGGTATAAATGGAATGATCCAGATACTAAGAGTCGGAATGATTACATCGTAACAAGAAAAAGAGACTTTCATGAAGATACAGATTTGAGAGTTGTACCAAATTTGAGTTTAGATACAGATCATAGGATGGTGATACTTGACAGAAAAGTCCAGATAAGTTATCTAACACACAAGAAATGTCATAAAAGTGACATAATAAAATGAAAGGAACTACAGTGTGAGGAAATTAGATGAGCATTTCAGCAAAAATTACAGGAAAATTATGAACAGCTTTCACAAAACACACTTGGGGTAAATACAGAATGGGTGAATTTTAGAGACACCACAATGAAAATAGCACAAGAAATATGTGGAACTAAAAGAAAAGGTAACATAGGGCATAAACTCTCAACATGGTGGTCTGAAGAAATAAGAAGAATTGTGAGCAATAAAAAGAAAGCCTATGGCATATGGCTAAGGAGCAGTACAGAAGAGGATTACATAACATACAGGATCATTAGAAGAGAAGTAAACAGAACTATCAGACAAGCAAAAAGAGATTCATGGAAAAAGTTTGGAAGCAAAGCTGGCTGAAGAAGAAAGAACAGCAGTGAAATACAACTACACAAAAATCAAAGGCATGAGAAACAGGAATGAAGAATACAACCCAACAAAATTTTAGCAAGGTGCAGTAATTACTTTGAAGCATTACTTAGCTGCAAAAAAAACAGATGAAAGCAGAGAACAAAAAAACTAGGGCTGCACTAAATATTCGCTTCGTAGCCGAATAGCGGACCTATTGACTATTCGGTATTAAGCCGAATAGTTGCGGTCGGGCCGAATACGAAAAGCAGTTACCTGACACCCGCTTCTGCATACACTGCCTTAATGCTGACAACATGGAACAATTGGTTTTCTTGAAAGCTAATGCAGCTTTCATGCATTAACTAAGCTGTCAGTGACAATTTCCAAGTTTAGTTACTTGTTATCTTCTTCTTCTTCGCGTTCACCAGCTGTAAACTCTGGCGGAAAGTTCTGATTGTTCGTCCACTTCTGAACTGCAGTCCTGCTCTAGAACCTGAGTGTTGCATGTGCATCAGTTTTACAGATCTGATTCACTTGAATGCAGACTGTTGGTTCCTTGCCCCTCAGGCAGATGCACTCTGACTTCAAAGGAAGCTCCCCAATTAGTCGACTCTTACGACATGCTTTTGGGTAGGCAGTGGGTCTATTCTTGTTTTCCCCACAATGGGGCCCCGGAACCCACATGGGGTGTTACTTGTTATAATACTTAGGATTCTTTCATTCCTAGTTATTAGTTACCACAGATTGACTGAAGGGTGCAAAACATACAATGTTTACTATTCATTAGTTACCATATATTGACTGAAGGGTGCAAAACATAAAATGTTTACTATTCTGTACGAATTCTAACTAGACATGGAAAGAATAACTCTGACCACATCCAAGTCGATAATATGAAAATTAAACGAACGGAAACATATAAGTACTTGGGTGTAAACTTCAACTGCTCCAACATGCTGAGCGAAGAAATACAATCTAGAATACAATCTAGAAATAAAGTATTCTATGCCCTTCAACATCTGCTAAAGTCCAAGTGTCTGTCTCGCAACACCATGATCAAAATATATAAAACGTTGATAAGACCAGTCGTTTTATATGGCTTTTAAACTTGAAGCAGAAATAAAAGAGCTGAGGCCTTATTACAGGTTTTCGAAAACAGTCTTACGACAAATCTTTGGACCCATCAAAGATGCTTACAGTGGGGAATGGAGAGTGAGAAGCATCAACGTAACACATAATCTGTTTAAAGAAGCATCAACGTAACACATAATCTGTTTAAATCACCATTGATCACTGGCATCATGAGAGCTAACAGACTAAAATGGTTGGGGCATATTGAAAGAATATTAGATGAACTGTGTACACCTGAGAGAGGAATGAGCGTAGACCACGAGGCAGACAAAAAAGTCCGAGAAATAATGTCCGGCCAGACCTGCAAACAACTGGTGTCACAAATTGTATAGAGAAGACCAACCAGAGAGATGAATGGAGACGAGTGATGTCTGTAGCAGTAAACCTCAAGGGCTCAGAATGATAAAGAAGATGATGACTATTCTGTGCTACTTTATGTGAAGTAAAGGTTCAGCGTACATTTGACATTAAGGATGTTTTTTTTTTTAGATATTTGTTATACACTATTTGTATTCGTATTCGACCGAATAGTGAAAATCACTTTTCGGTACAGCCCTAATAAAAACAACTCTGAAATAACGGCAGAGGAACTAGCTAGAACCAGGTATATTGTTAGATGTAGAATATGTCATTCGTACCACCCCTAGACAAAAGGTGACAGGTATTGATGATCTACCAGCTGAGGCCATTAAGGCAGCAGGAGAAATGGGAACAATGTGGTTAAAGAGAATATTTCAGGTGGCATGGGAAAATCAAGAAACACCATCAGATTGGCAAACTGCTGTCATCGTCCCGCTATGGAAAAATAAAGGAAGTAAGAGGGACTGTATTAATTACAGAGGAATATCCCTTCTCATTCACACTGGGAAAATGTATGCTAAGATCATCGAAAAAAGGCTAAGACCATTGATCGAGTATCAACTTTCAGAAGCAGAGATGAGCTTTTGACAAAACAGAAGTTGCACAGATGCCATTTAAACAGTCCCTTGGCTACAGTGCAATTACGGACTGAAGAAGGCACGAATCAGAAAACACAGTGCGGTTGACATGCCTGGCAGACCCCGCGCTGTGACTCAAATTAGCGACTGCGTTCAATTACCGCTTACGGAGTGGACTAGAGGGAACGACACAAGTAACATAATTACTGTGTGTTGGCGATAGACAGCGTGCAGTGCCCTACTGTCATCATACGGTTACAGTTTGGGTTAGGGGTAGGGTTTGGGTTAGGTTTAGGGTTGCTACTATGAGTTTGTGCGAAGACGAGATGCGGCGACACTAACCGTAACCCTAACCCAAACCGTATGATTATAGCAGGGCAGTGCAAGCTGTCTATCGCCAACACCACACAGTAATTATGTCATTTGTTTCGTTCCCTCCTTTCCACTCCGTAATTGCACTGCAGCAAGGGGACAGAACTCCGACTAACCGGCCGTAGTTTTAAGGAGAGCCAAACGTTATAACTGGTATAGAGCGAGTGGAAGACATCGGAAATATGGAGTGATGGCATTAAGAACAGCCTTACAGAAATTAATGAACATTAGTCTTACTGGTGTTATAGTGTGTTCTAGTTCTTGACAGAGCTCATCAAGGAACGTTACATCTTTCCCCGATACTTCGATGAGGTACAAGGTGGAAGAGAAGAAGAAGAATTAGAAGGTGCCACTGTCACTTAGCTGTAGAGTAGACAGTACAACTAAGACAAGAGTATCAAGACAAGTCACAATCAAGTACTGAGGACAGTAGTTAGTTGCAGTCTCAGTAGTCATGTACTAGTACACTACTACATGATCATTCATTTTCATGATAGTACGGTTCCGAGACCGAAAACAAAATATATATGTGATAGTGAAAAATATACTTGACTGATACAAACTAAATTGTAAACTCACACCGCCATGTTGATGAAGTTTGGTCCTAGTAAATATTTTCACTTTCCTTTTAACTTTCTGGTTCCTCACACGTGAATCCACTATCTTCCAGTAGCCAAAAATAACAAGTCCTGTCTGGAGTTACTTCCGCTGGAATCTTGAAAATCAGAATAGCTGATACACAAAACAAAATCAATATTTTTAGTTGTAGTTATAATTACCATAAAATAGTTTTGCAATCTTTATATTCTTTTGAATTTATATAATATTAAGGTATTAAATATACATTTTCACAGAGAATTTGTACGTTGAATCAATGATACAAACTTAACGTATGCTGCTTTGTTTTGTTGCGTTTATAACATTTTAATGAATGAGCTAATCGACTGCTAGGTATCTCTCTGCAGGCAGAACCGTTAGTCGCCTGCTGAGAGCGTCGCGTTAAATATGAACTCCTTAGCTCCGGTGACGATCCCTGTGGCTCTACGTAAAAAGTCGCACCCAAGAACTGTACGATGCAACACTAAAGCTTACTCACGACCTTCAGAGCGTGGGCAAACGCCTTGATCACCGAGCACCCCCACCCCCGCCCAATTAGTGAAGAATCAACATGACCACACTCGGGACTTTCGCACACATGCTCCGCTATCTTTACCAATAGCCAGTGGCCAAAGAAGAGTCACCCGTGATAACAGTGCCAGTTGTAACCTGATTAGATAACAGTAGCTGTCTCAAGTTCCGCATCTGTAAGACAAGGCAGATCCCACAGCAAGTGATTTAATTTTATACTTGTGCCTTTTCTCCTCAATTTGTTGGATCAGATTGCTCTAAAAGAGCACCAGTCCTTTCACACATCTCTTCACTAGGAATATTTATCTGCTGCAGCACCCTCTCAAGTTTCTGTATCTATGCCAAAGGTTTCAATATCTTATTTACAGACTTTTTTTTTTAGGTCATTTGGGGTCTTCCTGTAGTTCTCTTCCCTCTGGCTAATTTTCCATAAAGAAGTTTGTAGGAATACGGAAATCCCTCCATTAGAGTGACATAGCCGAACCACACGAGGTCTCAGCTTGTCGAGAAAGTGCACTGTGGTAATATCTGCTCTTGCAAGCTTTCTTTATATGGTCCTTCCATGTGATGACAATAGTGCTATACTTTGTTACAAAGAGGTGTGGGAAATAAAGCTAGTTATACATTTTCCCATCTAAACTGAAAAAAAAAGTATGAAAACAATTTTAGAGGCCATGTGGTGCCCTTACGGCATGATCCTTTTCCAGACCTGACGGTTTACTCCAAAGTAAAAGTAACACCGATACGGTTAGAGAAAAGCAAGCTGTAATACTCTCGTAGCTGCCGGATAAAAAAAAAGCAGTGCTCTGTATGTCCACCTGTTAGTGCTTCCCTCGTAAACCAGCTTCCAACAGAGACAATGGGCCTGGTCTGCCCAGCCGTATTATTGTTTTCAGAATACACTTCCTCGTTCTAGGATACGTTGGGCTAATCTTCCCCGTTACTCTCTTCCATCCAAAGTCGTTGGAAACAACTGTACATGTATAGGTTACAAAACATTTGGCGTTAACAGACGTGGTAACAACGATTTCTGCTTTGTAGTAGTTCGGTTACATCAGTCGAAAACTAAAATAAACCTAACTCACAGCAGCAGTGTTTTTTCACTCTCCTAAAAACTGCTTTGAGTTGAGCTGATTCAAGAACTGAAATCACAGGACTCGGAAGGTCGTGGGTTCGCTCCCTTGAGTGGGTACCGGGTGCATTCCCGGGAAGTAAAGGCGGCCAGAGTGATGCCTAGCACATCACCCATCTTGTGCCGATTGGTCTATAAAATATAGGTCTAGCCCTATATGCCTTATACGCCTAAAAGCGTCCAAAAGAGTCCTTTACTTTTTTTTTTAAAAGATTTAATTTTAATGAGAAGGCATGGGTCTCACAGTCCATGGCGAGTGTTACTAGCGTGCTAGCGGGAAGAAATAAGCAAGGGAAAACACAGAAGTAGGGAGATAAAGGAACATTGTGATTATAACAAAAGTAATAGTTATAGTTCCCCACTAAACAGCAAAAACAGGAAAGTAAAGAAAATGCAAGGGTTCTTCTGCGCAGATATTCTAGAATATTTCACCAGAACCTAGACAATTAATATCTGTATCGTGAGTTACATGACGACAACCTAACTACATGGTTACATACATCTAGACGAACCACGGCCTACAGATCCTAAATTAAATTAAGCAAAGGAATTATAATCACGTTAAACAGCTGTTTATTTTACTTAACATAACATCAGCGTGGTCCACAACTAACATTAACAACAACTAACGTGCTCGACCATCATCTAAAGCGATCATCAGCTAAGAAGGAAATATGATAATGACACCATACGCTTGGCGAGATTACCTCAACAATGGAAACAACTAAAACATATTTAACATGTACGTTAAGCTTCAATGTGCCACCAGGCCAACAAATCATTTATAGCTCTACCTACCACCCAGCGAGAATACACCCCGACATATTACACAGTATAACTACTAGAGACTACTATTTCAGGACTAAATAAGGAAACATACCACCGCCGCGAAAACAGCTTGACAACCGGTCTTCCCCTGCGGTCGCCCATACCCATGCTAGCTAGCCCAATGTGCAAAGCCGCAACAGCTAGGTCGGTGTTCTGCAGGGCGGTCCGGAGGCCAAATAGAACGCTAACACTGGTAACTGGTTGTCGTAAAAAAAAAAAAAAGATTCTTCCCAATTTCAGTCAGCTCCTAGAATGAGCATCGACTCTATCTTGGCGTTGTTTATTTGCTGCGTATGAAGACGCTTGTTTCTTTTCGGTTTATTTGTCAGGTGATTATGTCTCTTTTTTTTTTTTTCTTGTGCGAGGGAGGGGAACGTGAACCGCCCAAGAAGGGCAGTTTTTGTTTGCCTGTAAAAGACTAAACATGGTCTTTTATTAACTGATGGTTCGCCATGTTTCTTCGCTTTACCATCTAAGACTAATAGCTGTTCCTGTGGCCTCTTTGGCCTGTGACACTAACAAGACGAACCCGCCTCAATAAAAGTCTTCCACAGTTACAGCACAGGATTTCAGCACCGTTTTTGCCATAATTTGTATTTAGTACATTTCTTCTCAGAGCCCAGGTCTCATAATTTCTGCATTAATTTCTTCCTTCATTCTAAATTCCTCCCTGAATTGCCCCCTCCAAAGCAACAGGGTAAATTGCATTTACAGTTTATAATATCGGGGAAAATTTCTTGTCGTAACAACGTAGCAGAGTTTCTAGCCTTCATATATACATGATATGTGAACAATTTAAATTTTCGCAGCTGATTACATAATACCAAACGACTCTACCGTGTCCGGACTTCGTAGTTATCAGGCTTCTCAATGTAACCTTAGGGTGGATGGGGATTTCTGGGATTTGTACCTTGGTGATTTTCGTCCGAATGGTGACTCTGTGGTTCACGAGTGATAAGCGCTCAGTATGCAGCCCTAGTTTGGTTCAACGTCACTCACTCACAGCTGGTTAAACGATTATTTAGCGCATATGCTTGGAATGCCCAAATTGCTTGAAGTAAGTCACGGAAACACATATTTACGTAGTTTAGAGATGAATGCATTTTGGATTACCAGATAAAGTGAACTAAGTATCTTCTCCTTCTTCCTATTCTTTACGTCATCTTTTACCGCTTCAGGTGTCGAGGGAGATTTAAAGTCCTGCTTCGAGCTCTTCTGGCTACTTCGACCATAGACACATCGTTTTGCTCTAGCGTTTTTCTGATGTTTATCTTCACATCTTGTTCTATCTTCTACCTCTTGATCTACACCCTTCTCCTCTTTTCGTATTTGCATTGTATGGTATAGCATCAGTGTGTCGACCATTTGATTTGCTGTCTTTGTGTGTAGTTTGGAATTGTTCAGTGCCGACTTTATCTGATATGACCTCATTCCTGATTTGATCTCTGCTTGTCACTCAAAGTCTTTCTCATACACCTCATTTCCATGGCTACGATCTAGTCTGCTGTTATGTGCGGGAAAGGATTTTGTTTTTAAGTTTCTTCAGATTTGTATTCTGCCGGACTGACACTTCATGGATGAGAATTAGACAGCTACTAACCTCAACAACCCCGTTCAATCGTGTAGCTATATAGCCACAAAACTGTTGCGAATAAACCTGCACTCCACTTTCGGTGGCTTGTTTACGGTATATTAGGGATGTAAAAAGTATCATTCCGTGCAGGAAGCAATAGCAAACTCATTCATTCATTCATTCAGTAGCATGTCCCTCGCGGAACCTCGCTGCCATAACAACCCTCCGGAAAACCTTCCTATCATGAGCAAGATGTCCTGCGTCTGATACACCCATCTGGAGATCATCTGCCACATCCTGCACCCATCTTCTCCTTGGCCTTCCTCTTCCTCTCTTCCCAGGCATATACCCCTCCATTATTGTTCTCTCTAGACTTCCATGACGTTTCAAGTGACCAAAATATTTCAATTTTCTTTGTTTTATTGTCTTTACTAGCCAACCCTCTTCAATATTCAGCTCTTGAAGTATGGATGCATTTGTTCTTTTCTTTACCCAAGATATTCTTAGAACCTGTCTGTAACATTTATATTCAAATGCATTTATGCGCTGTTCCGCTTGTCTAGTAAGTGTCCAGGTCTCACAGGCGTATGTTGCAATGGGAAAGATGCATGCTCTTAAAAATCTGACCTTTGTAATTCTATCTGTACAATTCCATAATTCCAATAGCAAACTAATGAATTTAAAATTGCCGATTAAAAACCAGTCAGTGAGGGGTCGCTCTACGGCGACCTTTACTTTATATAATTAGAAATGTATATTTTCTGTTTTGTCGTCTCACTTATACTAGGTTGTAGGACAGTGACGTGATTGTCCATATTTGTCGTGTACTTCTCGGTTGGCTTGTGTGATGAGTTTGTTTGGCGTCAAAAGATAATGTAAAGAACCTTTCCACAGATTTGAGCTTCAACATTAATCAATCTCGTTCT